GGCTCGGGGAGCGGTTGCCATGACCACTTGCGGATGAGAGGAGGGAGACAAAACAAAAGACATGCTATGGAAGAGAGCCAGATACTAGTAATAACTCAGAATTAAATGCAGTTAAGATACAGGGCTGAGTTTCTGGTTCCCACTCCTCAGCCTATACATCTGGTAGTGACTGGAAATCCAGCTCTTTTAAGAGAAGCAGATCTGATGGGTCAGCTCACTAAAAAGAGCTGGCTCTTTTGACCCCGAGAAGTGAATTTATTACCAAAAGTAAAGTAGAATTATCTATAAAAATAAATGACTAACGAGCACAACATATATTATATAAAATTTTTATTATTTATATGGCTTATTTTACTCAACATGAAAAAAATGTTATAAAATTATTTTTAATAATGAAATACAAAAACTACAAACCATCTCAATTTGACAAAAAGATCCAATCTCCGATTATATGTTGATATTTAAATTATTTTAAAGCAGCATAAAGGTAACAGCTTTTGCTTGTCTTTACTGAAGATTGGCATAAAAAAATAAACAAGTGGCTTAGCTCTTAGGGGATGATCCTGTTTCTCCTATTTCTTTTTATTTGGCCTTTTTTGGAGAAGACTCTCGTTGAGGGAATGGAAATTTTACTGTGTTTCATGCTGTCACCTATTTTCTCACCTTCCCAACTTGTCTTTGTAACAGCTGTTCTCTGTCTCTTTTTCACTCTCCCTCTCTTACTTGTCTCCCTCCTTCCTGCTTCACTGGGTGTGTGCTGGGTCTGTAACCCCGACCTTCCTCTTCCTGCTTTGTGTGTACCAATAACCGTTTGGAGCACACACTCATACAGCCCCGCATATCACATAGATGACCCATCACTGGTGACTTGAGCAGGAAAAAAAAAACAAGAAAAAGAAAGAGAAAGACAAGCATCTCCAGCAAGAACCAGACACCTGGTACTCAATAGCCTCAAAAACTGCAGTACTTTAGGACCAGTTCTAGCACCCAGCTTTTGCTGGGTGTTAACCTTGGATTTCTGTTGATCCGGACTCATTCACTCCTCAAGGAGGCACTTGGCTGGACACTCACCTCTCATACTCACCTGCCTGATAACCCTCTTTTTGGTTTAGAGTTCTCCCTGGGACCATGCTAGCGACTAACTCCTGTCAAGTAAGGCAGTTCTTTGAACCTTCAAACATATCAGAGATTTTATTGTGCTGCAACTCTGCCTCAGTCCCTTCTGCTCTTAAGGACTATTCTGTAGGATTGTGGACCCTAAGCTGCCTGTCTGTTCCAGTTCAGCCCTATCTGTTGAATAATTTCCAAATAGAACCCTCTGCTGTGCTAATAAAGTCTATGAATGACCAGTTGCTGTCTCCTGGGTTCTTCTTGATATCCACTTGGTAACTTTACCTCTTAAAGCCATGAAATCACCTTTATTCTTCAACATAGATTACCTGTATTCTCTTAAAGCAGTCTTCAGGAATAGAAATCTCCAGGCTTCTTGAAGGACATTCAAAAGCTCTTGCTTTGATGTTTGCTGTATTTTGTTACATTCTCTGTCAAGACAATCCTACACTGCTTCAAAAATATAGAGGTCTGGAATCTTGGGAGGTGGACGAACTGGCCCTGATGAGAAGCATGAACAGAGACTTTGCCTCCTCCTGTGTCTTATGTTTTACGGAGTCGTGGCTCTTTGAGGACATCCCGGACTGCGCGCTCAAGTTGGAGGGTTTTCATCTGCTGTGCGCGTACGGGCAGGCCTCTCTCTCTGGTAAGACCACAGGTGGAGGCGTCTGCTTCTACATTAATAGTGGCTGGTGCACAGATGTAACAGTGATTGCTCAGCACTGCTCTTCCTCTCTGGAATACCTTTTTATTCACTGCAAACCGTTTTATTCTCCACGGGAGTTTGCTTCATTCATCCTGGCCGCTGTTTACATCCCGCCAGATGCGGATGTGCAGCAGCTCAGGCGCACTCGCGGAGCAGATATCTCCACATGGAGCGGACATTACCCGGACTCTCTCATATTGCTCTTGGGGACTTTAACAAAGCCAATCTGAGCCATGAGCTTCCCAAATACAAGCAGTATATTAAATGCCCGACCAGAGAGGAGAGGACATGGACCACTGCTACAGCACGATCAGCGGGGCCTATCGCGCGGTGCCCCGCGCTTCACTCGGACTTTCTGACTCACGTCATGATCCACCTGAATCCCCGCGTACAGACAGAGGCTGAAGCTCTCCAAACCTGTCGTGAGGACTAAAAAACTGTGGAGCAACGAGGCTGTGGAGGAGCTTCGCACGTGTTTGGAGTCTACAGACTGGGACACAATGAAGGCTGCTTCTAACAGCTTGGACGAGTTTACGGACACTGTCACCTCCTATATCCACTTCTGTGAGGACAGCATTGTGCCATCACGCACCAGGGTGAGTTATAACAATGACAAACCCTGGTTTACTCCTAAACTCAAAAAGCTGTGGCTGGAAAAGAGAAAGGCGTTCAGAAGCGGAGACAGGGACTGCTACAGAGAGGCCAAGTACAGGTTCACTAAAGAAGTGGACAGTTGCTAAACATCAGCACTCTGAGAAGATGCAGCAGCAGATCTCAGAGAATGACTCGGCCTCTGTGTGGAAAGGTTTTAGGAATAGTCACGGAACTGACATAGCCTACTAAACCCCCCACTTACCACTGGATGGACTTGCTTCTTGAGCCAGACACCCTCAACGACGTTTTATCTGTCTGTTTTGAACGAGGCTCATCAGGCGCAGCCTTCACCACCTCAAACTGGCCGCCAACAATAGAGACACTTTGGACACTCATTCCCCCACCTCTCTTGGCTCCAGTCAGATGACCAGGGTTTCCTGATGGGACTGCCTGTCTACCCTGCGGCCATCTCGCTGTGCTGAGGAGCCTATGCAGGCGTATGGAGACAGCCATGTTCAGGTGAGGTGGGGAAGATTCGGAGCCTAGGCTCAGCTGTCCTCCAGCCACCCTCCTCCCTCCTGACATCCTTTGAGTTGGGCCTAGTGGCCAGCACTGCTTGCAGGCTGTGTTCCCCTGGCATATTGCCCGCTTCGCCGGTTTCCGCACCAGTTGGACCTCGCTGTGTCTGATGCGTCAGCCAGTGAATGAGTGTTCTTTAGCCCGCAGCTATGGCTCCCTTTCTGGCGTTCCCCTTGCAGGGTTGCGTGGCCAGTAGGTACTCCACTCAGCGGCTCAGTGAGCTACGCTTCCTCTCCTCTCACTCTTGGCATTCCAATGCTTTTTGTTGTTGTTGTGCTAAGATAATAGGCAGAATGCTACCGGTATAGCTCTAAAGAATGTAGCATCATAGGCAGTGTAGTCCGTGCTGCAGGGAGAATGGACTGCCATACCCGTTATTTGTCTGTGAGCGCGAGGAGTGTATTTGAAATTGCTACACAGTGTTGGGAAGGTTACTTTTAAAATGTATTACACTACAGATTACAGATTACATGCCCCAAAATGTATTCTGTAACGTATTCCGTTACGTTACTCAATGACAGTAACGTATTCTGAATACTTTGATTACTTAATATATTATCATGCTTTTTACAACAACGTGAATGTACTATTGCTGTGATTTATTACTGTTACTGAAGGTCCGCGGCTCCGAACCGTAGTAAAGGGACCTCTGGCTAATACGTTGGGCTCATAGCCGAAAACTAGCTTTACTTTGTTGTCTGGGTCAACTTTGCTAGCGAGAGACAGAGAGAGGCGTTGAAAGGCTGCTCCAACGGAACTTATTGTTTTCGGAGGAAAACACGAACACGGTGTACAGTCGAGTCTTAATAGCTTACTTACAACTGGGCTCGTCAGGCACTCTTCTTGGCTGCAGTGGTTATTATTATATTTACATGCTTCCAGCTCCCGTTTTTGCTCGATGACAGCTCATACTTCCTTTTTCTCCCTCCCTCGCTCACAGACAAATAACGGGTATGGCAGTCCATTCTCCCTGCAGCACGGACTACACTGCCTATGATGCTACATTCTTTAGAGCTATACCTGTAGCATTCTGCCTATTAGCTTAGCACAACAACAACAAAAAGGCCTCTCTCACCCAGGAAACACGCAGAGAGAGAGCATCACCCTGTAACCATGGCGCTGCCGCCTGGAACAACAGAACGTAGCTGTCAAACAAAACCCAAACAGGCCTGATCCGCCACAATATGAAACAGGGAAGTACCGCCGTGTAATCCATTTATTTCAACAAAGTGACTGTATTCTAAATACCACCTTTATAAACGGTAACTGTAACGGAATATTTTGTATTTTAAATACGTAACGGCGGTACATGTATTCCGTTACTCCCCAACACTGTTAATGGGTCAAGTAGTTCTGTCTTACTTCTTGGTCTTGTTCAGTTTGGGTTCTTCAAAGCAGTTGAAGACTAAGCCAGTTTGACATAGTTTCCTCTGAGTAGGTGATGCTGAGATGTGTCTGTTGCTTAAACTACTTGATGTGGGTTCTAATTTGAGCTCTTTGTGCCTGATTAATGTGATTGGGCTTCTTCACTTTGTCTTCCTTTCCAGGTGACATCTACATGAAAGGCACTGGATTTTAAATTGTGTTTTTATGGGTTTTCTGATTGCACTAGAAGAAACCATTTAAATTTCTTTAAATATTCGGAATTAAATTGCCCCTTTCTTTTCTTGCTGTCTTATTGTAAACTCTTCTTCAATAACTTTTAGTAAGATAGCTTTTAGTTGAGGAGGAAGCGTCTGTGATCCACGAATTTTAAGACTATCTCAGTCTTGCACTAGAGAGGGAGAGATACAGTGTGTGTGTGTGTGTGTGTGTGTTTGTGCATATGTGTGTGTGTGTGTGTGCCTCAGGTCTCTCCAATAACCAGCACAATCTTTGGAGAAAGACTTAAACAAGTTTCAAGACTCTCCAAAATCTGTGCAGGTCTTTGAGGAGAGTCTGGACATTTGTTGCTGGCTACAAATTCAAATGGAAGCATACTGCTTTAAGAGCAATGACAGCCTCTTGAATATCAACATCTGTGCTATTTTTAATTGACAACAACACAATACAAGTATGCATAAGAAATAAAATATATAAAATAATTAATCTATTATTTTTTTCCATTCTACTTAAATCTTTACACTAATAGCCAGGGGGCATAAGCAGGGCTTAATTTTACATATAGTTCTGCGTATAACTTATCTATTACATGTAAATTGGTGGTTGCGTAGTGGGCGAATATTACTGGCATGCAGACAGGACTAAACCACCAAACTATTCAGTACACAATCTGCTTTTCATCCTAAACTGCAACCACCTTTTCTTCTTAATTCTGCTACAGGAAAAAGAAAAAATGTAGCTTTATCCATCTATTAACCAGTATGTCTTATGTTATTTAATGCCATTCAGTAGCTTTTTCATAGTCTTCAGGTAGTCAGCATCTGGGCCATCACTGAAAGAATACAGATTAGAAATTAAAAAATTAAATTAAAAAATAATTGTCATCACACACACACACACACTCCCATGTAGATGTAAAGACAGAAAATTGGGACTAAATAATATATTTAAAGCTACCTATTAAATCAGTAACTTTAACAGTAGTGTTCTTTCAGTGATCTAATTTTATGAGTTCAGTTCAATTCAGTTTTATTTATACAGCACCAAATCACAACAACAGTCGCCTCAAGGTGCTTTATATTGTAAGGTACAATAATACATACAGAGAAAAACCCGACAATCATATGACCCCCTATGAGCAAGCACTTTGGCGACAGTGGGAAGAATAAAACTCCCTTTTAACAGGATGAAACCTCCAGCAGAACCAGGCTGAGGAAGGAGTGGTCATCTGCCATCTGTCTAGACATTTCAGTTTCTAACACACAATTGTAAATGTGTTTGTGTTTGTTTGTTTGCTTGCTTGCTCATTTTACTTCAAGTCAAGTCAGTTTATTTCTAAGCACATTTAAAATCAAGGCTTAACCAAAGTGCTGCACAATTAAAAGGGATAAGCATTAGGCCTTTCAAACCAAGTCTGCTATAGTATACTCACAATATGTTTCCACCTTCTGACTGTATTTTTAGTGGAATGGAACTTGTAGTGATAACGTCCTCTCCATCTCCATTTGTGGTTATTCTAAACAGAAGCTTCTGATTGAATGCCTTTTCCAGCAGAGCAAGAACCTTCTTGCCTTCATGGTTGTCAGGCAGGTAAGCACAGAGTACTTCCCCAGCATAATGCTGGCCAGGGTGAGGGTGCATCTCCTATAGGAAGATATGTTTAGTGCATAAATAGACATTCATTAAACCATGTGCTTAAGTCTAACCACACTGTACTTAAGTCATCATATTTTAAAGAGTTAATTAAATATATAAAACTGTAATTAATAACTATTAACAAAACTATTTAGATTTTTGTTTAGTACTTTGCTTATTCTTTATTAAAAATATTTTTAGCCTAAGCAAGAGTTCTGAGGTTTTATTTAATAGCAGGCTATAAAGCCCACAGGTAAAATATGCACATTAACTAAGGCGAGATTTTAATTTAATTTAAAAATAGACTCTGACTTGATTGACTCAGAGGAATTCTGTTTCCCCATTCCAGAACACCCGATCAGGTTAAGTTCAGCAAATTGTGAGTACGTTCACCCTGAGCTAAGCGTGTGCACTCTTTCATCATCACAGAACAAATTCTGATATATGTATTGACACCATGTCTACTGTGGTGATTTATCCAACTCACATTTTTGTTAGATAAAGTCGGAATGCTAATTTTGAATGTAATTATCTAGCTGTAACCTGAGAGAGGCAAAAACGAAAAAAGGAAAAGAAAAAAATGAAGAGAAAAATTGTTCATATTAAGCAGTTTACTGATGGACCTGTGATATTAGTTATCTAGACAGCAACACGCTGCAGAGTGGTCAAGTGTGTTTTTTATTTTATTTTGGTTTGGTTTTCTTTTGCTTTTCTGGTGGTTGCTAAATCAGTTGTTAGCTAAATCTATTTCCTGTTACACCTCAGAAATACCAGAAAACCCCTGCCCAGTCCTCAAAAAAAAAAAAAAAAATATTGGGAGATACAAAATTAAGATTAACTTAATGATAGGATGAATGATAGGAAGAGTATACAGAAACTTTACCACATGATTTATCAGAGGAACGGGGTCACTAGTATATTGATAAAATGACTGTTGATAGTAGGATAGTAGTAGAATGTGCACAGTTTATCTAAGACTCAGTCAAATGTTGCAAAATTGATCAAATTGTGCTCCTCAAAGCCCCCCAAAATACTTAAAAGCTACTCAAGAGTTTAAATATCCTTCTGGAGATTCCTTACTTGTGGTTCCTAGAGTATTTAAAACTAAAATGGGAGACCTTCCGCTTTCAGACGCCTCTTCTGTGGAACCAGTTCCCAGTTTAGATTTGGGAGACAGATGCACTCAGCTGCATTGTGGAGAGCACACTGACTACCTGCATCACTGCATGGTACGACAGCACTACTGCTATGGACCACAAACGCCTGCATAGATTGATAACAACTGCGGAGAAGATCACCAGGACCCTGCTGCCCTCTCTGAAGAGCATCTACCATCGCCAAGTGCAGAGGAGAGCTGCCTCCATCCTCAAAGACCCCACACACCCACAACACAAACTGTTCACACTTCTGCCCTCAGGACAAAGGTTTAGAAGTGTGAAATCCAGAACATCTCAACTCAACAACTCCTTCTTCCCCACTGCTATCAGAGTCTTGAACAGCTGACCCATTTTGAACAGTAATAATAATTACCATCGGCCCCTCTGACCATCACCAGTAGGCGGTAGATGAAGTGTCTTGCCCAAGGACACAACGACCAAGACAGACAGGGCTAGGGATCAAACCGGCAACCTTCCGGTTACAAGATGAGCTTCCCAACCCCCCTGAACCACGGTATATATGCACAGGAAATTCAAAAGTGTTAAATGTTTTGGTGTTAGTAGTTTTCTTGCAAAAGTAGAGTTAATTTTACTCTAAGTAGAGTCACATTCTTTTAATGTAACTCTGAGGTGTAAAATGATAGTAGTTAAAATCGAGTGTTAAAAATGAGCATTTCTATGTCAAATCTGGAGGTGTTACAATGTTTGCAGGTATTGTTTGCAGGCAAATACCACAGCCTTGAAAAAAAGCTTGCATGTGAATTTTCAGTCACATTTTTGGTCAAACACACCTAAAACAATGTCTAGAATGTGAAATGTTGGTATAATGGTGCTGCTTGAAGCCTGAAAATGATCTCCCATAAAAAAAAAACGAGCAAACAGCAGTAGCAGGCGTCCTGACTGGATTCTACGTTAGCATTTAGATCCGTCCAGAGTTTTGTGCACACGGTTTAGGTAAAAATGAAAAAGGTTGAGGTTTTACATTTAGTTCAGTATTACCTGTTGCCTGTGTCCTTGTCTTTTGGGAAAATACTTTACACAAGTAATGGCTCAAAAAGGATTCTTTTTTTTTTACTGTGCTGCAATTGATTACTGGATTATTTGTGCCATTAATTAGTGTCAACTAATTTTTATTCAATCTCCACATAGGATATGTGAAGATGGAATATGGGGGAGAGCAGAAGTGCGTTGAAGGTCCACAAAGGGATGAATGAAGGACATGCATATTGTATTGAAGAAATAAGTGATGAGAATGCTGTTATTTGCATTTACCAGCTCACCTATGTCAGACCTTTTGATAAACAAAATTCTAATGGAAGTGAGAACATGTACACTGTTACATCTTTCAGAAAATGTTTTGAAACATTTTGTGGTGCACAGTTCAGAATAAATGTTTTTCAAAAACCATTGCGTCTTTTTAGTAAATGTTTATTTCCAAAAGAAATGTCTAGAAGTTCAGAACAGTAAAATTCCTGCTTTTTAGAATGAATTAGAAGATAACTCTTACGTAGTTAAACTAAAATACTCTTTGAGAGTTAATATATAAACACTTAACACCTAGTTAGCATTAGTAAGTATTAAATTATCAACTCCAGACAGATTTGGTGTTTAACACTAAATCAGAGTTAACGTACCAACTCTCCAAAAAGAGTTAAATTAACACTCTCTGGTGTGGACCCATATAGACACTTTAATAGTGTTGAAATCAAATCTGACAGTGTTAATTTGGACATGCTGGATTTGCAGTGTGCATTTAGTGAGTGTTGTTTACAAATCAAAGTATGTGCTGCTCCTTTTTTTTTCTGTTTTCGTTTTCTATTTCCATCTACCGTGACTCACTAACCTGACCAACCAGTTCACCAGTTTCTTTCTGATAAGAATGCGGTGTATATGCTCTTACTCTAGTTCAAATAAAAGAATAGTTAGTGTTTCTCTTTCTTTTTGAACAATATTTAAAAAATATCTTTTGAACCGTCAATTTAGGGTTGTGCCACATAGTCTTCTTATGTTTAATGTGCTGTACATCTGCGGTCCCCAACCCCTGGGCCTCAGACCAGTACTGGTCCGTGAGTCATTTGGTACCGGGCCGCGAGAGTTGAGGCTCATGTGTGAAATGTGTGGTTTTCAGGGTTATTTCGTTATCATTTTTATCGTTAACTCAGTTTTCCTGGGTCTTTTCACGCATGTTATGAATAAATCTTCTTTTTTTCGGTACCGGTACTAGTTTTATTTTGTTGTGTTTATCCCGACACCTTAAAGGCCGGTCTGTGAAAATATTGTCGGGCATAAACCGGTCCATGGCGCAAAAAAGGTTGGGGACGTTGTGTTTTTTATCATTTTAAACAATGTTATTGACCTAGTGAGAGAGTTAATCAGAAGTGTTTGACTGTTTCTTTTTATTATTATTATTGTTATTATTATTATTAATAATATTAATAATATAATTGACTTTAGCATACAGACTGAAGAAGCCTGGAGTGAAATTACCAACCTTGAAAGTAGTGGATGCCTTGCTCAACCTCATTAGCTATTTCAAATATTAGGTATTAGTACATATTAGCTATACCACATATAGTTGTCAGCAGATCCACTAAGCTCACCGTCTGTTTTCCTTCCAGGAATGAGAAGTTAATCTTCAGGGTATTATCATTAGGAAATCCAGCTAGGCCTCTGTTGATAACTTCCCAGGTCATTTTACCATCTGGTTGGCACCCACTTAGTGTACTGAACTTCCCATTTGCCTGTTCAGTAGCTGGACAGACAGAAGCAGATTTTCAGTGGAATTATCTACTAGTAAATAAGAAATTGTACCAGGCATTCAGAAATAGGTGTGTATTTTTGAAGGACCTTGTTCAACCAGCGATGGAGGACCCTGTCCATCGAGATAACGATTACAGTAAAGCTTGTCACTGCTCTGGTTAGAACCCATACTGTAAAGACAAGGGAAACAGTATGAATTAGCACTTTATCTAGAATAAATCACAATGTTGGTAAATGTCTTATAAGAAAAAGGTTTTACCATTCAAAAAAAAATCAAGACAATTGTAAAACTGAAACAAATGAACAATGAAGTTCCAAGAGGAAGAGAGATTTTTATACATAGTTTAAGATTTGTGTTTAAATTTACTATCATGCTTAAATTCATTTTATAGATCTTCATTACTCGTCATAACCGCAGCTAGCTGTAGATGATGGACTGTGTATTCTTGCAGATGTCCACTCACACAAGAGGATTTCTGTAGACTGATTAGCACAGTTTGATGGTGTGTCAAGGCTGTAAATCACAAAACCCTCTAAAAACATTGAGCTCACATGCTTAGAGTCCCCTGAATAAAGGTGTGAATGGTTGTGAAATGGCTGTGTACAAATGTCTAAATTTGATGGCAGAAGATACATCCTTAACACATCGTATGTCGCTGCTTATTAGGGAAAAGTATTTTATGGCCCTCAAACACAAGAACTTCCTCTCATGTACTTTGAGTCCTAAAAAAACAAAAAGATTTGATAGCTGGCTTGTAACTTCAAATAAACATTTAAATGTGTCCGATGTTATTTTTAAATAATCTTTTATACTGCCATATACACCACATTGACTAGGTATATCTGAGTAGAGCAGGTGAACCTACTGAGTGCTGAAAATAAAGTTTGTACGTTTAGCCAGTCATAATATCTTTGGTTTTGCTGCCTAGCATTTTGCCTGTTCTGTTCTTCAATCAGCTTGTTTTAATTCAGAACAAAAAGAAAATGTTTACAACACAACACAACATACATTAGTGGGTGAGTTCAAACTGACTAATAACTTAAAATTCCAATGATTACAGTAAATGTTAATTATCGATGAGTGCTATTCATACTCTTCTCAGTACCTGCTGAAAGGCTGTTATCCACACTGCAGAAAATTATCTTGGTTTCTCCTGTCGTAACTAAAAGATCTTGGAGCTCCAGGCATTCGTTAGCTCATGAGGATATGAAAAGTGCACCAAATCAAAGACAGAAACAAGGGAAAAATAAGGTGGGTGTGTCCAGTTAATGGGTTGTGGTTTAAGGGCTGAATGATCTGCTCAACTGGTCTAGCAAGTTTGGTAATCATGGTAGTGTGTGTGTGTGTGTCGGTGTGTGTGGCAGAAGCAAGCAAGAAAAACAGTTTCACAGTAGTTTTATGTATGATCATAAGGATAACAATTTATTTGTGTTGTGTTTTATATTTTTATATATTTCATTGAATACAACCCCAATTCCAAAAATGTTTGGATGTTTTTTTTAAACACTTTAAAATAGAGCACCCACAATTGTCATTGTAAATGTACGGCACAATTGTGGGTGCTCCACACCAACTGTGTAGAAATAAAATATAAATAGTACAACAGCAGGAATAAATAAACATGAGAGATATATACAATTAAGAGGAATATATAAAAAACAACAGAAAAGGCGAACATTAGAGAACAGGCAGTTAAAAAGACTTGGTCAGAATAGAGTCCACATATAAGTAGTCTGAGGGATGAGGGTTATTTAGATCATGGCTCAGATTGGTGGGTGTGTCGTGAAATCAACAAGTCATGAACAGCTGTCATGGCTACTGAGGGGGAGTGAACTGTAGTGCTGGACTCAAAGAAGTCAATGTTAGTGTGTTTATTTACATTGATTCACCAACAAAGCTATACCCAATGCATTAGAGGAAAATAGTTTCGACTTGATCCAGGGAATCCAAATACCTGGTTATCCAACAACAGAACACTCTCAAAACTCAGGGCAACTCATCACAGTCCAGGAAAGGGAATCCAGGGAAACTCTTTGCAGAGGGAAACACCAGGGTTTCACTAACTGTAGTTCAACACTACAGCAAAGAATGACAGCCAGTCACTACCTTAACTCGTGGCAGTTATGGGATCATTGGTGACAGGTGGGTGATGTGTTTCAAGCTAGAGTCCCACCCTCGCGCATAGACAACAACAACAACACAGACAGAGAAGAGAAGAGAAAAAACAAAGACAGAGAGACAGATAAAGTCAGTCGGAGAGGCCTTAGGGACCGTGATAGTCATTCATGCATGTGCCACGGTGTTTTAAGTTTAGCTTTAGCTACAGAAAGCAGTTGTTCAGTTTGGTAACTTGTATTCACATTTCTTCCAGAGAAGTGGAGGTGGCCATTAAATGTAAAATAACCGTTATAACACAGTGTTGTTATATTTAATTCGTCAACATTTAAACAGCAATGTTAATAGTCGGTTTATTTTTTATGTTTTTTTGCATATCAGAAAAACTGAAAATAGCATTTCAATTCACACAGATCAGCTTATTGATCTAGGTATTGACCTATATCAAATTATCTTTTGATGCATAATTAGAAATGTTAGTTTGTACCGACGTAGAAATAAAACTTTAAGAAAAAAAAAGTTAAACACAGTAATAAAGAGTAAAAATCTTGATCATCTTAAATAACTGCAACAACATAGGAGTAAAGAGGGCAAGCAGTTTGGCTTAACAAATGTGTGCCCTGCCTCCTATATGTGAGGAAGGTAAAAACCCAAAGGACAAAAGACACACTTCTTGATAAGAATGTAAAACATATTCTTTTAGCGTGTGCCAAAAGCTTTCTTTGTCCTTTGTCCCACAGATGTATTTTAGAGATATCCTTGAACATGGTTTACTCAGACTGAGTTGCAGGTCTGGGTTCCAGGCAAGAGGAAAGAAAAGATGGTGGTAAGTGGACTGGTTCTTATGTAGTGCTTTTCTATTCTAACTGAGCACTCAAAGTACTTTAATGCAACTTGTGCCATTTGTCCAGGCAAACAAACACTTTCTTCTATGCTTTGTTTAATGATTAGGTGCTGTCTGTCTAACATTTACACATATTCACATTTCAATGGGTGCACGGATGAGAAACTTGGAGTTAATATCTTGCCCAAGGATATTTGGCATGCAGACTGGAGCAGCTAGGGATTAAACCACCAACATTAGTAGGTGACCTGCTCTATCTATTCAGCTACAGCCACCCCAAGATAAGGAGTCAAAAATTAGTGAAATGAGAAAACCCTGTGGACTTTGCCTTTTCCTGCTCCTTACATGTAATGATTGCCCCACTGATTGCCTATATAGTCATGACAAATAACTCTTTAAGAATAAAGCCTTTGTTTAAATTTTGGAATTTTTCCTGATCTCCTGCCTAAAGTCTTTGGTGCCAAACAGAAATTTTATTGAGGGTAGCACTTAATAAAAAAGTCTCATGCTTAACAAATAATTAGAAACAGATGAGTATTTGCATTCATTTCTCCAATCATTCTCCATTTGTGGAGAGATAATGCTTTTAGAAAAGGGCTGAAAACTCTCAGTACCGCAGAGGTACAATACTTACTAAAGCCAAGTTTGCTCAGCAAGATAAAGGCTTTCTCTTGGGGTTTGTTCAGCTCAACATTTGGATCAGTTAGACTCAGGTGTGATGTCCAGTATGTCCCTTTATCTGCTTTGTTTTGTTTGTGTTATTGACTTGTCAGTTTTGATCAGGCTGTGAGAAGTTTATCTATTACATGGCAACATTTACCACTGTGACTCAAAGAAGTTTTTATTTTTTGAGCCATTCATAGTTTGACTTTCTGACGCTTTGTGCACCACTTTCGTGCTGCATAATCCAAGTGTGCTTGAGCTTTAGGCCAGAAACTGAAGCCTGGACGTTTACTTTCAGAATTGGCTGCTAGAGACCAGAATTCCTGGTTCCATCCTGCTTTGATACAGCAAGTCATCCATGACCAGTCAAGTAAACCCAGATCATCATATTACTGCAACCATTCGTGTTGGTATGATGTTCTTTTTATAAAATGTTATCTTAGTTTTATGCCAGATGTAATGAGAGTCAACCCTTCCAACAAGTTCAGCTTTTGTCTTGTCAGTCCACAGAATGTTTTCCTTGGATCATCAGGTATGAAATCACCACCTACTGACCAATCAATTTTCCAAAAATAATGTCACCATTCCTTGAAAAACCCTCAGGCCTCTGCAGGGAAAGTAGGAAGGGTTGTTTTTTAATAGAGTCTAGTATTAGCAGTGTAGCAGTGTAAAAGGCATATGCAGATTAAAATGAACTATTAGAAAATTTTATACACTTTCTTAATCACCAAATTAATCCTGCCACGGTTCTGGGTCGGTTCGACCCAGCATTTTGAGTTTATTATGTTTTAGTTTATCTCTTGAATGATCGTTGTGTTACCTTTGTGATTTGTGGGTTACTATTTAAGTTCCATGTTTCTGTTACTCGTGGTTAAGTATTTGTGTTCTCATGTTTTGTGTGAGTTTAGTTCTGTGTCCTGTCTGCGTCCTCGTGTAGTGATCGCTTGTTTCCTGTTTTATTGTGAAGGTCTGTCTCATGTGAGTGTGTTCAGTTTTACCTCTCGTCTCGTTGATTATTCCTAGCTGTGTCCACCACCTGTGTGTAATTCCCCTGTGTTTCTCTGTGTGTATTTAAGTCGTGTCCTCTGTCATTGTAGTTGCTGGTCCGTCTGTGTATCCACCATGTTTCATCCGTGTGTTCTCCCTGCTGTCCGTCGTCATTCTCCGCTGCTCATCCTCCTTCATGTTCATGTCCTGGTTTGTGTTCACTAGCTTAGTTGTTCTCAGTTTAGATAGCCTTCTGTTCTGTTTGCCGTTTGTCTATTTTTATTTTTGTGTTCAATAAACCACCTCACCTTCACGAGTGCCTGCGACTGGATCCTCCTTCAATATTTCCACACGGCTCACTCTACTCACCGTGACAAATCCATGTCCATTCTTTTGACAGTGGAATGCATAGTTTGTGTTTCGTTCTGTGGTTTCAGTAAGGTAGACATAGGCTGCACATATGAGTGCACATAATGTACATAAATAGTTATGTATTTAAAAAGTTACCTGGAAAACCAAAATCCTGCTTTGTAGTACAGGCCTTTGGTCTGCACTCTTGTGTAAATGATGCTAACTAAATCTCTGAAGATTCCCTCACTTTTTCACTTAAAGTCTACATGTTTTAATGCTAACTTCACCCTGCTTAAAAAACTGTGATAGAATCAACAATGTCTATGAAGATGGATTTAGGAAGTACACATTTAAATAACATGTTTAACGCTTTCTTGTGCAGGTACAGAATATGGCATCACTTGTGAAAAACAAGGACAGCAAAACTAAAAAGCAGTTCCTCTGGGCTGCAACAATGAGTTTTGTGTTTAAAAAAAAAGAAAAGAAACAAGGATATGCTGTCCACTTTCACTCCCAGTCTCTTAAGCAGTATATTGTTGCTAACTAGCTGAATTGAAACAGGAGAATCCATCTATTAGCTGTAATTTCGTGGTTTGTAAAGCACTTAACGAATGAGGACAATGTAGAGGAGAGTATACTTTTATCAGCCTTTGTGTTTTGCATTTGCTTTGTACAAGTCCCTTCTCAAAACTTACAGCAGACTCATTGGATTACTGTGATTGGCTAGAGTACCACAACATATCCGTGTCACTTCCAGAGCTTACCACCCGTTAAACACTCAAAATTGATATTAGACAATCAATTTTTTTCACATCACACAAGACGTGACGCAGCCTCAGAAAGCCCTAAAGTTAAGCATTCTTGAAAATCTGAAGGTTCCAGAACAACCTTGGTCCTCTCAGAGACAGTTAAAACATATCTGCCTCTTCATTTGAAATCCTTTGTTGTTGTGACACAAAATCCAAGCTTGTTTTTAGTGACCTTAGAGACGCTGAAACAGAGAAAGACAATCCCGCTTAAGCTAAGAGGGCGAGAGAGGTTTAAAAAAAATAGGCTGGGGACAAGAGGGGGATCTCAGATGGGATCTCAGATGGGATAATTACCATGTGTCCCAAATCCTGCCTTACTCTCCCCTCTAATCCACACAGGAAGAGAAAACACAGAAAAGTCCAATTATGTTTTGAACTTGCCTTCCTTTTCTTCTCTCACCACCATTCTCTCCATATAGTGCTCACCATTAAAGGTGTAGTCAATCTGAATCAGTGCTAACTGTCATGGCTGTGTGAATATATTGTATATGTATTGTATTAAGTTATATTTTAATGGAGTAGCTAAAACTTTGTGAATTAAGCTGAACAAAATTATTTAAGGGGAGCATGGTGGCACAGTACAGGGTGGGCCATTTATATGGATCACCGTAATAACATGGGAATGGTTGGTGATATTAAAGTCCTGTTTGTGGCACATTAGTATATGTGAGGGGGCAAACTCCTCAAGATGGGTGGTGACCATGGTGGCCATTTAGAAGTCGGCCATCTTGGATACAACTTTTGTTTTTTCAATAGGAAGAGGGCCATGTGACACATCAAACTTATTGGTAATGTCACAAGAAAAACAATGGTGTGCTTGGTTTCAACGTAACTTTATTCTTTCATGAGTTATTTACAAGTTTCTGACCACTTATAAAATGTGTTCAATGTGCTGCCCATTGTGTTGGATTGTCAATGCAACCCTCTTCTCCCACTCTTCACACACTGATAGCAACACCGCAGGAGAAATGCCAGCACAGGCATCCAGTATCCGTAGTTTCAGGTGCTGCACATCTCGTATCTTCACACCATAGACAATTGCCTTCAGATGACCCCAAAGATAAAAGTCTAAGGGGGTCAGATCGGGAGACCTTGGGGGCCATTCAACTGGCCTACGATGACCAATCCACTTTCCAGGAGACTGTTCATCTAGGAATGCTCGGACCTGGCACCCATAATCTGGTGGTGCACCATCTTGCTGTAAAAACTCAGGGAACGTGCCAGCTTCAGCAACAGTGTTGGGGAGTAACGGAATACATGTTACTGTATTTTAAATACGTTACTGATACGTATTTAAAATACAAAACATGAGTAACTGTATTCCGCTACAGTTACCGTTTAAAAACTTGGTATTTAGAATACAGTTACTTTGTTGAAATAAAGGGATTACACTGCGATATTTTCCTGTTTCATATTGTCGCGGGTCAGGACTGTTTGGGTTTTGTTTGACAGCTATGTTCTGTTGTTCCAGGCGGCAGCGTTACGGTAGCCATGGTTACAGAGTGACGCGCGCTCCCTCTGCGACTGCGTGTTTCCTGGGAGAGAGAGCGCCTTTTTGTTGTTGTTGTTGTTGTTGTGCTAAGCTAACAGGCAGAATGCTACAGGCATCGCCCTAAAGAATGTAGCCTCATGGGCAGTGTAGTCCGTGCTGCAGGGAGAATGGACCCGTTATGTGTCTGTGAGCGCGAGGAGGGAGAAAAAGGAGAGTGGAAAAGTACGAGTTGCCATCGAGGAGAAACGGTAGCTGGAAGCATGTAAATATAATAATAACCACTGCAGCCAAGAAGAGAGCCTGACGAGCCCAGTTGTAGGTAAGCTATTAAGACTCGACTGTACACCGTGTTCCTGTTTTCCTCCGAAACAATAACTTCCGTTGGAGCAGCCTTTCAACACCTCCCTCTGTCTCTCGCTAGCAAACTTGACCCAGACAACAAAGTAAAGCTATTTTTTGGCTATGAGCCCAACATGGAACCCGACATATTAGCCAGAGGTCCCTTTACTACGGTTCGGAGCCGCGGACCTTCAGTAATAGTAATAAATCAGATTCATGTAGTTGTAAACAGCATGATAATATATTAAGTAATCCAAAGTATTCAGAATACGTTACTCTCATTGAGTAACGTAACGGAATACGTTACAAAATACATTTTGGGGCATGTATTCTGTAATCTGTAGTGTAATACATTTTAAAAGTAACCTTCCCAACACTGTGTAGCAATTTCAAATATCCAGTGGCCTTGAGGTTTCCATTGATGAAGAATGGACCCACTATCGTTGTACCCCATATACCACACCAAACCATCACTTTTGTTGTTCCAACAGTCTTGGAGGGATCCATCCAATGTGGATTAGTGTCAGACCAATAGCGGCGGTTTTCTGATCTGGATCATCCTCGTTGAGATGCTGCAGTAGCTGGAGTTTGTAAGGGTGCCATTTGTGAGTAGCTAATATCCGCTGAAGGGATGCTCAACTAATGCCACTCTCCAGTGACATGCGGCGAGTGCTACGCTGTGGGCTCTTGCTGAATGAAGCTAGGACAGCCACTGATGTTTCTTCATTAGTGACAGTTTTCTTGCGTCCACATTTTGGCAAATCCAACACTGAACCAGTGTCACAAAACTTAGCAGGTGTAACGATGTAAAAGAATGGATATGGTTTTGTTGTTGTTAAATTCCTGTTAAACTTGGGATCGCAACCATGGGTTTATTTTGGAACTTTTATTTTGAAAATCCGCAGCGGAAGTCTGCTACTGGTAAACGGGCTACCCCCTAAGCCTATCATTAGTAGCAATGAAGCTTTCGCTGTGGTAAGTTCCTCTCCGTCCACTCTCACAGAGCATGAGTTTAAAACATATTTGAAAATCCTCATTGAAGCTAATATGACAGTGCACTAACTGCATGAACTGCCCATACGGTAGTATTTGAGTAGATTTCAGGTTTATGACCGTGTTTTGTAGTTAATAGATTAGACGGTAGGAAAAATGGACACGTGGAGCTAGCGGCTAACAGCTAGAGGAGGCTGTCGTGTCTAATAATTTTGAAACTTCTCTCAATAGTTTGGGCGGAATCCTGTTGCTGAAACCCATGGTTATTCATGTCCCATGTTATTGCAGGTATGTGTACTTTGAAACATGTATATGGTTGAGCTACAGGCTAATTCTGTTTAAGACATATTGCTTATTAAGTTTGCCCAGTAGATGGCAGCATTGTTCCATTTACTATTGTACGTAAAAGGGAATTTTGGCTTTGGTTTATTTATATTTACATGAATGTGCATTTAAGTGAATTAATTTTTCTTTTGTTATCTAAACCACAACGCAGTAATGTTTCTATTTTATTTTCCGTGATAAGTATTGTTGCCATTTTGTTTTTCAATCAATATTTGTTTTTATTTATTTGGGAAAACTAAGAGTTCCACTATACGATCATAAGCCTATAGTTAGTAGCAATGAAGCTTTCGCTGTGTTTGGGCGGAATCCTGTTGCTGAAACCCATGGTTATTCATGTCCCATGTTATTGCAGAGACCCACAAAAAGGGGAATAAATCACGCCTGAGCTCTACCCACTTCGAGTCCAGAGAGTTTTATTCACACAGCGCTGGAAAGAGAAGCTGACCAGGGGTTACACGTTGAACTTTTCTGCACGGCAATGCTGTGGAAAATACAGGGTGGGCCATTTATATGGATACACCGTAATAAAATGGGAATGGTTGGTGATATTAAAGTCCTGTTTGTGGCACATTAGTATATGTGAGGGGGCAAACTCCTCAAGATGGGTGGTGACCATGGTGGCCATTTAGAAGTCGGCCATCTTGGATACAACTTTTGTTTTTTCAATAGGAAGAGGGCCATGTGACACATCAAACTTATTGGTAATGTCACAAGAAAAACAATGGTGTGCTTGGTTTCAACGTAACTTTATTCTTTCATGAGTTATTTACAAGTTTCTCTTTGTTCACAGCCATTGACATGTCGAAGAGGTTAACACGTGAGGAGCGGATCGAAATTGTGTTGATATCTGGTGAACGCAGTAACCGGGTCATTGCAGCAGATTTCAATGCAAGACACCCTACGAGACCACCCATCTCCCATGCTACAGTTAGCAAACTGCTT